GGTCACACCTATTGCGTGACCATACCCCACCCACCCTAGAGCGCCCAAATCCCCTTATCAAACTCTATACCTTCCCACTCCCAGCCCCCCACCCCCAGCTGGCCTCAATTCTGCAGTCATTTCTAGATTTTGTTTTGGTTTAGTTCTGTCAGTTCCTTTATTTTATTTCTCTATATTCCATATATGAGTGAAATCACCCAATTTTTGTGTTTCTCCCTTTAGCTTATTTCACTTAACATAATCCCTTCCAATTCCACCCATGTTGTCACAAATGGCAGGAATTCATCTATTTTCACAGTTGAGTATACCCCATGGTTTATATCTACCACATCTTCTTAATCCAGGCATGTGTTGTTGGGCACTTAAGTTTGTTTCCATAACTTGGCTACTGTAACTAGTGCTGCAATGAACATAGGAGTGCATCTATTCCTTCAAATTAGTGTTTCTGGATTCTTTGGATAAATTCCAATGAGTGGGATTACTGAATCATATAGTATATCTATTTTTAATATTTTGAGAAACCTCCACACCGTTTCCCATAGGGCTGGACCAGTTCATATCCACCAGCAATGGACAAGGGTTCCTTTTTCTTCACACCCTCACCAACATTTGTTTTTTGTTTCTTTTTGATAAGTCATTCTCACCAGAGTGGGGTAGTATCTCATTGTGGTTTTGATTTGCATTTATCTGATGCTAAATGATATTGAACATTTTCTCATGGGCTTGTAGGCCATTTGTAAAGTGCCTGTCTAGTTCCAGAGGTCTTATGTTGAACACTTAATGTACTAGAAACCAGCTCTGCTTCCTTGGGAAAGTCACTGTGTCCCCTGCACATGGGTTAGGTATAGTTTTTCTGAAGGCTTGTTCCAAGAGAGATGTTTAAAAATAAGTGGCTTTTTTTTTTTTTTTTTAAGAGGAAATGACTCTCCATTACTTTTATTCAGAAATTCTCTATTACCTGTTTTGGAAATTACAGAATAAAATGGAATATATTTTTTTCTTTTTTTTTCTCAAATTCTTTAAGTCAACTGAAAGCAGAAAATGCATACGTTGCAGTAAAACATGTGAGTATAATAGCACAAAGAAATAAATATATATAATGTATAATATAATAATGTATATTTATATAATATGTGTAAAGAAAATTTCACCATTTTAGGTTTTTACATTATATTCGAAGTGTAACGATATTAATTCATGGTGGACTCTCACAAGTTAAGGATGCATTTTAGTGTGCTAATACTAAAATATGATACAAAGAGCTGTAGCTAAAACATAGAAGAGAGAATGGTGCACCAAAAAAATACTCAAATAAATCAAAGGAAAGAGTTGGAAGGAAAGAGCATGGAAATCAAGAACAGGGGCAAGCAAACAATAAATATTAAGCTGGTACACAAAATCCAACCAGTTTGTTGGAAATGCAAATGAACCAGAAATGCAAACGAACCAGAAACTCTTAACTAAAAGGCAGAGATTATAGGACTAGATTTCTAAAAAAACAGTCTATAAAAGGTTCCCTTAAAATATAAACATAAGATAAAAGAAAAAGATTAATGAAAAAAAAAAAAGCAGGTGCAGCATCATTAATATCAGACAAAGCTGACTTTAAGTCAAGGAGTATTACCAGAAATGGAGTCATTTCATTATGATAGAAAGGCCAGTTTAACAAGAGGATAAAACAATTCTAAATATGGATGTAAGCTCTATTTTGAAGTTTCTTTATTTATATATAAAAAAAGCAAGAATTGACAGAACTAAAAGGAAAAACAGGGAAATCCAAAATCATAGGTGGAAATTTTAAATAACTCCTTTCAGTAGCTGATAAAAGGTAAACAGAGAGTAACCGTAAGGATATACAAGGTTTGAGTACCTCTAACAAGTATTCTGACTTAATTAATATGTATAAGAAAACTACACTCCCGGGCCTCCCCGGTGGCGCAGCGGTTGAGCTCTGGGTTGGGAAGCTGCCCTCAGCCTCTGAGGCGCCGGTTCGATCCCCGGCTGCTCCCCGGCCACCGGATGAGGGTCCCACATGCTGCGCAGACCTCTCCTGCCGCCCACTGCTCCCCTCAGCAGTGTACTTCGGTCCTTCTGCCTGCTCTGCTCTTCTGACTGTACCCAGTGCATGTATAAACAAAACAAACGAATAAATAAAAAAAAAAAAAAGAAAAAGAAAACTACACTCCCAACTGGAAGGAGAGGAAAGAGCTGCCTGCAAGTGAACATGACGGGAAACCACAAGGAAAAATGCTGCAGGGGGAGCAGATGTGAAAGGGCAGAATCCAGGCAGAAGGAAAGGGGCGAGCAAGGTATGGCGGGACAAAGCAGGAGCTAAGCTAAGGGTCTTCACATGTCCCTTCACCGATTACCCCTTCATCTCAAGCCCATCCAAAAGTCTTATTTTACAGGATGAAGTTCAGAAAGGTTACTAGGCCACAGAGCTGACGGTTTTAGAGCTTGTGATAAGAAGTGGGGCACGTATGACCCCAAAGCCTGTGCCCACCCAGTAGAGGGTATTTTACTGGCGAGCACAGAATTTGCTGATAGCCATAAGCAAAAAGCACATGTGTAGGAAAAGCCCTGGTCAGTGCCAGGAAGTGTCCTTTCTGAGCTCACATGTTTAGAATTTCGCTCTACAGGAGGGAATAAACAGCTGACTCCACTCAAAGGGCTCTACTGCTGTTCGTAGACTGTGAGAGTGTTTATATCATGGGCAGAGCTCTCAAGTGAATTACAGAATTCCATGCAGCACGTACCGTACATGCATTATTTTTCACAGATGAAGAAACAGCGTGTGCAAGGAATGCTACAGTTGACCTTTCTTTCTTTGTGTCCTTCCCTGTGCAACCTTTTCCACAATCTCAAGTCAGGACTGCAGGACAGTCCTCTTCTGGTTGTGTTTCTCTGCGACCTGGCCTTCCTACACAGCCTGAGGAAATGACTGTTCAATTTAAGAAGGGAGCTTTTAAACGATTTCTTCTTCCTAGCAAGAGTTGCTGGCTTTCTCTTCCATTACATTTAAAATGTATCCATCTTCGCTACAGTAGAAAGCAGGTTGTTGTTTTTTTTTTAATGTTACTTCAGATGTTTTCTTTAGACTAGTGTTAATATAAAGCAAATGTCTCTTGTAACTCTGAACTCATCTGTTAAGACAAACAGGCTTCATGTATGATATTCCCATGCTGAAATCAGGTTTGTGGTCTGCAACTCCTTAAAGATTCAATTCATACATGCTAAAATGCCTAGTTACACACACACACACACCCCTACACACACACACACACACCCAAGATAGCTTTGCCATGGAAACCACAAAGACACGTCTGGTTCAGACTCCACAGCACATACCACAAATAACAGCCCATCTTCTAAGGGCAGATCCTATGTACACACAGGAAAAGCCAAGAAATTAAACAATTACAATACCTCAAATGTAAGACTTACTTTATAACTCCCTTTTTCAACTCTATTTCAAGACATGTAAATCTTAATCATTATTATTAGTTACATTTATGTTTGTTTGTTTTTTTCTTTAAACAGAATTTCATACTTGGGCATCATGGACAATATAGGTAGAGAGGACCCACTGAAGTACTGGAGAACTCTGGATTCCATGCAGGAATCTAAGGGGGTATGGGTTTCTAGAAAAAGCTACTCTGTCTTCATTTAAAAGAGCTCCAGTCCTGCTGTAAGTGAAGGTCTTATACTACAAAAAGTACAGGAGTGTCAGGAGGCACGTGGGAAGGGAGTGAGGCATCAGGGGGAGGGAGGCAAGATTAAGAAGTCCCACAAGCAAGAACATCTTAAGTTTGAAGGCTAGCTTTTGTCAGTAGGTATTTTATAAGTGTCAGAAGTCTGACACGGTAAAGGCTTTGAGGCTTCCTGCTGAACCATAAATTCCATGAGGACATAAGACATTTTCTCCCATGTGTTATCACTATATTCCTAGCATAGAGCACAATGCTGGAAACATGGTAGGTGCTCAATTAACATTGGATGAGCGAGTGAAGAGGATGTTTAATATTCTTTAATTGTGTGATTCTTTGGATCGGATCATCCTTCAGTTGGGATCACAGGTATGTACATAGGGTTGTTCGGGGTTAGAAAGTAATAACAACCTGTCAGTCTCACTGTGATTTATTTATGGAAACTATGATTTTGATCCACTGCCACTTTAATCTAGGAGGCATGGCTCATGAAGACTGATGTGCCATACACTAAAGTCTTACTTATAAAGAATACCCAGCATATCTCTACATTGACCTTTTCCAGAAACCTGGAGAAAGCTTTCCATAGAGAGGTTTGTGCATAAGAGTTGTACCTTTAAATCCCAAACTCTAGCTAATTTCAGCCTCCATCAAATTCTCAATATACCACCATAGTGATTTTAATAGTTTAGAGTATGTGTGTAGCTATTTAGTCAGTCAAGGAAGATATAGGCTCTGCTTTGGACAATGACAACAGAGGCGCAGTAAGTACATATAATCCAAACTGTTCTTTCAAAGACATTACTTTTGCCTATAAAAACCAGGTTCTAGATCCATATGTTGACTACTAAGTCAAATGCTATTTACTGTCAGCTGAAATTTAACATTTAAAACAATAGTTGCCAATACTTTCATCATCTATACCATTTATTCACAAGTCTAATTCCTATCTAGTACTTCTTCTCTAACCTAGGTAGAGAGGTAGATTTCTGATAAATCCTGTAATCCATTAAAGAAAAAAAAAAAGCAAGCTACCTGATGAGGTATTGATAAGATATTGGTAGAATTTTCTGCCAAGTACCAAGTAGTGACTACTTTTGCTGCTCCAGACCACGTGTGTCTGTTGCATCTACTCTGTCTCTATGGGGTGCAAGCAGTCAGAGGTAATGAGAATAAATGGGCCAAACATTTATTCACAAAAACAGACAAGGGAAAGATTTTGCCTGTGGTCAGTAAGCCCTGGACTGGATAAACAATGCTGCTATTTGTAGGAAACAACAACTGATTACTTACTTTGCTCTTTTGGCCATTTCATTTCCATCCCATCTGGGGCTGTATGGGTAATTTTTTTGGGCCTGGGAATAAAGCTGTCCACTGTTGGTAAAGTGATAGACAGACTGAAATGTGAGAGTTGGCTGGTCGCGAGGAAAAAACAGGGGCAGGTCAACTGCAAAGATAAAAGAAAGGAAAAGCAAGTTAGGGTTTGTATGCATCTTAATCTACTTTTGGGGTTAAATCTGTGTACAAGACTCCTTTGAACCATAAACACTGGTTGACACTCACCTAAAAGAGGTGGACAGGGAGACCAAGAAATACAAAGTGCCTTCCCTTCCTTCAAGGAGCTTACAATTTAGGTAGACATACAAACCACACGTAAGTGAAAATTTAACCCAAATGAGGCATGCAACTGTGGGTGCTGCCAGAATGCTACGAGATGGCCACAGAAGTTGAAGTCCCTGCCACCTGAACTTCACCATGGCACTCACCTTGTCCAGGGTCTCACAGTGGGGTTAGTTCTCTGCTTGATTCAAGTCGACCCTAACATGCACTCCTCAGAGGCTGAGTGTCTTCCCTACCTATCATTTGCTGGAGGAGAAAGAGGTCGTACTTCAAGAATGGGATTTGGAAAGGGCTCAAAGACAGCAGGTTATGATAATCTTTCTATTCTTAAGATGTAGGCAACTGGACCGCCAGAAAAAAATAGAGTTATCGCTTCCAATCAAGCAGTGAATTATGTCCCAGCAGTTTCAGTTTCTCCATATTGACAGAAATCTCGTAGCGGAGCCTCTAAGGGAACGTGTCAGGGGCGAACCTGGGCACTACACACACTGAGTCTGATCTTCGCTGTTGACGAGTATTCTGTGCTTCAGCTGTCATTTTGGGTTCTTCAACTCAATTGAAAAAAAAAAAAAGATGCCGTTTTTGAGGCAGATCATTATTAAAAACTCAAGATTGTTTCAGTTGCACGTTCCTCAAGGTATACAATGTGTATTTGCGTGAATATTATCCACTTCTACGAACAGCGAGTAGGTGCATTCATTTATCAAAATTCGTAAGAAAAATGCAGTTTTCTAGCTTTGCGAGTACTTTCACATTCTTTTATCTCATCTGATACTTCTAACTCTGTGAAGCAGATATTATTTTTACCATCTGCATTTAACAGATGAGCAAAGTTGAGGCTCCAAGATATCTGTGAAGTCGCTCATGCCACAGCAAGGCCGGCGCAGGACTCGAACCTAGTCCCGGGATTTAGATCCTAAACTCTTTCCATGGGCCATGCTGCCTCCTGCTCTTAAGGATACTGGTGCAACCTGCTCACAACACACACACCATGTCATAATTACCCTAGAGAGTCCACTACAAAGGGTGTGTAAGAGTCTTCTTTTTGATCATATGAGACAGATATATGAAAAAAATTGCCCACCTAATAATAAAAATAATACTTATAATTTAAACAACTTTTAATAAAAAGTTAAACATCTATCTGATCGCCACGCCAGTTTAGGGTGACATCTGATTGGGTTCTATAAGCACCGAATATGATTTCTTCAAGGAAAATTTAGGTTTGCAGCAAACTTAAGGAAAAAGCAAAGCCAAAAAATGGTTTAAAATATACCTCTGAGTCTATCTGATTCTGAGTCAGAACTGCAGGGGGTTTCTACACATGAATCACCCACAACTGGAGGAAAGGGACAAGATTTTGATTGTCCACTATTCAGTCACATTTTCCAAGTGTCTCAACGCAATCTCAAGACAAGTTTATTTGTGCCAGAGCAGAGATTTAGTAACATACAGGAACAATATGGGATGTGAAAAACAGACTAATTCAGATTCTAAGTAATTTGAATCCTTTAAAAAACCCTTTTGAATACCTTCCTATTACAAAGCATGATCTGTAACATCTTCAGTCACTTTGAAAAAACATTGCTTTCTAAAATTAAGTTTATATCTTTTCTGATTACTCATTTCATTTCCTGATTGACTCTAGAGAAATGCTATTCGCATATACTCTAATTTGACTTCAATTATGTTTATATTATGTACAAGTCTCCAAATATAAAATGAGATTGAGATTTAACCCCCAGAGCAATCACCAATAGCGTTGGTGAAAAGTATTCAGCATTTAAGTTTTCCTTCCAAAAAACAATAATTTTAAACAATAGAATTCCATGGTAATGCTTTTACAAATTACTAAAGTAAATACAGTTGCCATTATCAGGACTATGGATATAATACTCTATTATGTAGCTTCATGATTCTCAAACTCCCAGAGTAGTTTGCACTTCGGAGTGCTTTTTATTTTTGGTTCTGTTTTGTTAGAAATAAGCTGCTGATATTTTGATTTACTGAAAAATGACTTCCTATCCAGTTCTGAACCATCTACTCTGACCGATTAAACACCCAATTTGCATCAGAGACAATTCACAACGTGAATGCAAATTTATTTACCCAGGCAAGTTGAGTTCTGATTAAATAAACGAATTGCCAGCAAGTTACATGCTGATATGTACCACAATTCCCCCAAAGCACTATTACATGCTTCCTTCTCTGTGTAGACTTCACTGAAAAACTGCAGTTGAAGCCAATATTAAAAGTTGGACACAGTATTAAGGAAGCAGAAATGGCCAGAGTATTTTCAGAGATAAAACTGGTAGCCCAGAAATTACTTCACATGATAAGAAAAATATAACTACATCGCTCAACTAAGTCAACTGTCAATAAAGGAAGGGCTTCTTTGAAAATGTTCTGTGCATAAAAAGGAGTTAATAACTAAAACATTTACAAGAAAAACTTTGCATTTTTCTTGTATGAATGTTTTGAACAGTACAAATTAGTCACAATTAAAACCAAACCTGTTTTCCTTATCCCCAATATTTCTGTCATTTAACATTTGCCTACAGATTAACTCACCATATTCTGATGCATCATAAAATGATGGTTTCAGGCCTCCCAACAGCTAACTTGCACTGAAGGACCCCCCAGGCTCTAACAGTTGGGGATCATAATATCACCTGTGTTAACCACTTGATTCCTTAGCCCCATGTCTATGGGCTCAGGTTTGATTCCTGAAGCGGAATCCTGCCATTTGGTTCCATTAACAGTATTATTGTCTTATTTTGATGACTGCTTCTCATTTCCCTCTTCCCGGACGCAGAGACTGGATTGTGGTCAGCACTCTGTCCATAGAAGGGATGGTCCTTGCTGTTCAATAAAATTTCAACAACCATTTCTGAGGCAGTACTTTCTTCAAGAACTTGTTGAGACAAGTCACACCCAAACACTTCTCATGCTGCACGGCCTGGGCGGTTCACAGGGCTTGTTCGTGGGGCTCTGACACCCTGGCAGAGGATGGAAAGAATTAAGCTCTGACCAGTTTGCCTTGTGCTGCAGTCTCTGCAGTGCCGGCTTCCTCTGGCACCAGGACCGATGGTGTTCTTGGGCAAGCCACCATGCCAGCAGCTCTGGGAAGAAACTCACGCATGGAAGGAACTGCTGTCTCTTTCTACACCTACTGGGGTTCAGGAAGACAGGTGCAATTTCACCTTCTCTAGCAAACAAGCTTAATGCCCCTAATGCTCACCCTTTCACCATAAGATTACATTGTGGCCACATCTAACTCACAAGAGTCTCAAGAATTTCCCCACTTCTCCCCAGACCTCAACAATAGAAAAATGACCTGAGCAGTCAAATGAAATGCCACACTATGTAACTGCTCCACAGGACAGCTGTCAGATACTCGCTTAGAACATTCTGGCACCGTTCTAACAAGTTTGATTGTATGATTTTTCCAGAAAAAAATCTAATTATGGAAGATGAGGACAAGGGACATTAATAGCAAGTGGTGAAAACTAGCAGTCTGACAGAAAGGAAGGAGGGAGAATAATAAATAAAAGCAGACTTGGGAAATCAAAAAGAATCCCAGTCTGGGGCCATTCAGTGTAGGAACAAAAAGTTCAATCATTCCTCAAGCTATTACCACACAGTAAGCGAGGCTCACTCCCAATCTTGGTAACCATGGCAGACACTCTGGTGGCCTACCCAATGGCCATTCTCAGTCCTTCTTTTTTTGTGGGTTGAACACTCCTCCCCAGCCAGAGTCCGGAAGTACTCTGCTTGGTACTCACTCTCTCAGCCTCCCATATGCCAAGGCATGGAAAGGTGACTCAGTCCTGCCAGTGGGACCAAGGGAAGTCTGCTAGGGGTCTTCAGAGGAATAATTTCCTTTCCAATTAAAGACACAAGGAGAAGGCCCCATTTCATTCTTGTCAGAGCTCATCATGTGAGGGCTGGAGGCTGGGCGCTGTGTGCCCATCTTGTCACCACGAGGGAAGAGTCAGTCTGACGTCACCAAACTGCCAAATTCATCATCCCTGGAACTGCCCAGAGCTGGATTTCTTGTTATGTGAGATGATTACAAGTCCTAACTATTTAAACCTCTTTTAATCAAGTCTTCTCAGACTTGCAGTCAAAGCATCTATGGAAATGTTTCTTACAGCTTCTGTTCAAGAAGGCAGGATAATTGTATAATCTATTTCAGAAATATTTCCACCAAGCACGGTTAAAAAACACTCAAGGCACATAAATAGGAAAGTTTTAGTCGTCTGGAAAATTCAGTTATGTGGGATAGTTCAGTCCTTGAAAATGCCAAACAAATGAGGGGTTAACCATAATTGCTTCCCTGGGAGTCACATCATCAAATATTTTCTTCATTATTCATAAGTCAGCCATTATTTCATCTCTCCAAACCATCCAGACTATATATTCCTGTGCTTTTTTCCCTGTGTTCTTGGGTTAGTAGGGAAGATACTCATGGATTCACTTTGTGGTCGTTATGGTTACATGCCCATTTCCAGTCCTCCTGGGCCTCTCCAGTTCCTCGAAGCCTCATCAGGAGACGATTTGAACCCCGTGTTGACTTGCTGAAGCTCCCCTCCAACCATGACTCCATCTGAGGTTGCTCCTTTCGGAGAGCAGCGTGCACACCCCTCACGCCTGGGCTGCCCCACAGTGGGTGCACAACTGATTATGGAGTCTGCCCAGTCCAATTAGCTACACATTAAACCTTTGAGACACATGGAAATCACTAGAAAGTTAAACACCACATATCCAAATACCTGTGTGGAATGTAAAAGTTTTCTAACTCAGAAGCAGTCTTATTTAAGACAC